GTCGCCGCTCTTCGGCCACCTGGTGGCCCTGCTCCTGGAGATGGACCAGGCGCGCGCGCGGCGCGGGGGGGGGGGCCTCTCGGGCCGCCGCGGGTTTGGGCGCCCCCGTGGGTGCCAGGCGAGTCACCGAGCGCGTTCCACCGCTCGCAAGGCTTGGTATCGCTCGGACGTGTGCACTTTTTCTCGGCGGGGATTATGAAGGAGCATCCTGGATCATCCTGCGAGAAAACCACGCACGAAACCGAAAAATCACAGGGAATGGACGTCCGAGCGATGGCCAGACAGTGCTTACTCGCAAGCGTCCGAAAGAAAAACACGTGCTCGCCTCGATGCGACGGATCCTAAATCCCACGCGGGGGACCCGGGCCATTTGCGAGCAGTTACTCCGCGGGTAGGGGGATGCGCTTGTCCAAGTAATGCGAGACGAGGACAACTCCGGATGCTGGTGATCAGGGAGGAAAGTATGGGCCTCCCAGGCGGAATCCGCCTAGGAGGAGAGTGTGTTTTGTTATTCCTTCCCCTCCCCCCCCATCACGTCACGCTGCCCCCTTCCCCCCCCCAGTGCGTCCCCAGCAGCACTTCCGCAGTGCGTCCGGCACCATAGTCTGTCACGGTGAGGGGCGGGAGTGTTACGTTATGCCCGTTCCCGCCCCCCCCCTAAAGAACACCAGTTACCGCCGCGAATAAATCAGTGATCCCCAGGCGGGGTCCGATCAGATGGTGGCGGAGGATCGCGCCGCATCGTCGATGCACCGCCTCCTGGGGTCCAGGATTCGTACCCCTCAGGGAACGTTTGTTTCATGCCAAACGCTTTGGAGGAGGAGGAGGAGGAGGACTGCATAAGTGCGGACGGTGATGCGTTCCAGAATCAGAAAACTGCTGAAAGAGAATGTTCGGAGCCCCGTGAGAATTTCTTTTGGATCGGCAAAGGGCCCCCCTGGCGTCGCCCCAGGCGCCGCACCATGACTTGCTCCGCGCGCGTGGGAGGGGGGGTCCACAGCGCCGATCCAAGGAGTGTGCGAGGAGTTTCGAACATGTATGTTAAATCGGGCTTGGCCCTACAATAGGAATATTTTAAAGATAGTGAACAAGAGTCTGGGGACGATTTTTACCATGTTTGAATATCTTTGGTGTATTGTTGGGGTACTTGTTTTTTTTTGCTCCCCTAAAATTCCGCCTTTAGCGGGACAGGCCCGACCTAATATTTATGTTTGTGCTTTTATGTGTTCCTCCATGATTGTGAGGTTTAGCGATTTCCACCGCCCAGGAAACCGACACTCGTGGGCCTCAGGATGCGATGGATGTGAACATATTCGTACCGTGGGGAGCCAGATGCCACCGCCCCCGCAGTTGCGGATGAGAGTGAGGGGGCAGCGGGGGGCCGTCGGCAGAGTGCGAGGCTCTGAAGCAGCCCGCCGCAGGTGCCGATTTCTAACATTGCACAGCGAACCCGCCGCGTGCGCCGAATTGTTGTTTGAGCCATGTGGGCGTTTCACGGATGGGTCACGAGCGGGTCGCGGGCGATTGCGACGACAGCAAACAAAGAAACAGGCAAACAAACATCAATTTTGCAGTATTCCTCACTGCGGATGCCCATGTCAGGCACGCGCCCAGGGATGGTGCAAGACCGCTCGACCCCCTCACTCTGATATCCATATCCACCGCGTGCCGAGGTCCTCGAAGAACGACGCCCCAGGCGGCGACGACGGACCGATCCCCGCCACGCAACTGACTGGGAACCTCTGAGAACCGGCCGTTCTGGAGGATGGTTCTGGCTTGCTGTAGAATCGCCCATACAAGACGAGTTCTTGGTTCAGGTCATGTGGGCCCGCGAGCTTGCGGTGTCAACCCGAGGACATTTCGCCTACCTCTCGCGGTGTCCCATCCAGCCGCCTTGCGCGGCCATCCCAGCTTGCCCATTTCAGAGCTTCACGTGCAGGGTGTTTCCGCCGTGCCTGGCGTGCCCACCATGGCGCCAGCGGCTTCTGTTGGGAGCTGCCCTGACGAGGCGGGGGACTGTCCAGAGCAGTAGTGCTACTTTGGGCTGATCCTTGCCATTCGGGTGTTGCCATGGGTGCTGCTAGCCCTGGTCATCCAAGCAGTCTGCGAGGCAGTGGGCAGGCTTTTCGTGGTATCGCGGACGGATGTCGTTCTAGCCTCAGATGGGGGATGTGAACTACCACCGCGAGGCGCGGCGGCGGGCCCATATCCTGGCGGCCGACGCGGTGGATGCCCAGGGTGATCGAGTTCGGGTGGAGGGTGACCCGAGTGACGCACGTTTTTGGGCTCTCGTGGACCCGCTGGTGGTTGAGGTCAAGAGCGAGCGGCGGCACTCACGGTCGAGGCGTCGTCAAGTCCAGCGGCAAGTTGAGTGCTATGCGGAGCCCGCGGGTAGGGACAAGGGTCGGTGATTTCCGGGGAGAGGGGGCGATCGGTGGCAACGGTCGTCGGGTGTTGGGCTCCAACCGGCTTTCGGGCCGAGGCGGGGCGACGTCCTCGACGGACGAGGTGGGCGAGGTTCGCGCGGCCGTGGGCACCCTGCAGCCTGAGGAGGGGCAGAGCTTGCGGCGGTTCGGTTGGCCGCGGGCGGCGTCGGACTTCACGGGGCACGTCACGGATGGAGCCAGCAACCGCACCTAGTATCAGGCAAAGGGGACTCGTCTGAGTGAAGGGCATGAGAGGGGGGGTCGCATGCTCACGAATCCATGGACATCGATCGTTGTGCGACCTGCTGTGCTTGGTTCGGCCACGACGATCGACCAGGTGGACGTTACCAGAGCCGCCCGCCTGTATGGAGCATGCGACGCTCCGACTGATGAGTCCCTAGCTGGCCGTGGAGCACAAACCGCCGCACCCGGGCCGCGGCGGCCTCGGCGCCATCGAGCGCGGCTTCGCAACGGCGAAGGGGGTTATGCGGATGTTGGCTTTCGCGACCACGCCTCCAAGCGTCAGGAGGAGCGCGCGGATTCGTTGAAGCATGGGCGCCAGCGCAGGGAGTAGACCAACAAGAGGAGGAACGAAGACGCCGACGCGGACGACGGCAAGAGTAGATACCATACTGCGGAGCTCTTGGGTCGGGGCCAGTTCGAGATTCGGCACGCCATTCGAGTTGCCCCTTTCCTGACGGCTTGGCCGAATTCTTGCGCTGCACATGGTTGCTGCGCTGATAAGAAGTGGGCCATCGCGCCGCGGGATTCCTGGGGGGCAATTGCGTTCATCCAGTAGGGTCGCGGGTGTGGGTGGCGCAGGATTGGTGAAGGCCTTCTAAGGGATTGCTCTGGCATGCAGAATGCTCCTCCTGGGCGTTGCCTCCGCATGCCAGATTTGCCCCCAAGGTGGGTGGGCTCTGAAGCGACATTCCCGTGCCCGCCTTGTCCAGGTGCGGACGCTCGCGAGTGCCGTCGCACTGCAGAGCTGGATTACCCTGATGGCAAGCGCCAGTCAGTCCTCGCGGCGCAACCCCCTTTTGGCGAAGCTTGAGCTTTGTCCCCGCCGGGAAGGGTTTGAGGATGCATCCGGCTCTCGAGGGCAGCGGTCAGGGCGTTGAAACATAACCCCTTTTGGGCGCCGGTGGGGCTCTGGTTTTCGGGCCGCTCCGTCGGTCTAGCTTTCGGAACCCGTTCGTGGCCGAGGCCCGCCATGGCCAGAGAATCAATTCCATTCCTCAGTCAGGGTCCCTTCCTGTACCGCCTACCGAAATCGACCCAGCACTTTCTCCAAATTTTTGATTCCCCGTTGGGACCCCTTCAGTGCAACCGCTGCTTGGGAAAAAAGCTTGTTCCGAAAGCAGAACAAGAATTAAGCCAGAGGGCTCGTGCGAAGCTCCGCCGCCTTCTGAGAGAGCCTGTCCCTTTTCGCTTCTCACCCTGGCGCACCGCCAACCAGAGTCAGCCGACGTCGGAAAATCCGCGCTATCGGAAAGCCACGATGGCCGAAGGTTGATCAGGGGAGGAAATAGAGTACCGATGCCGCTGCCCCTGCCTCGATTTCGCCCTGTTGGGCCTCCTAGGAAGGCTCTCGCCGCCACCGCCAGATTCGCTGCGAAATCATGGTCAGAACGCACCCAGAGAGAGGTTCGGGGAGTAGCGGTCTCGGGATCTATTGGCTCCCTAGATGCAACGTCCAAACGGCGCCCCTAACACCGCGCAGAGACCTTCACAACACGAACCAGTCGTAGCAGGCGCCAGGCCAGGGAACGGACGGACATGGTGACGGCCAACGGTTGCGAGAGTTCAGATGGGCGCAGGTTGAGCGGCGCTCGAGGTGAGTTTGCCTTCCTCGCGCGAGGTGGGCAGCGACGAGCACCGACCGGCCTCGGCCAGAAAGGTGCCCCCAGGGACGGCAGGCAGGGCCCCGGATCCTCTGGTCAGACCAGCGCGTCCGCGTTCCATGTGCGGGTGTTCGCTTCGCACGTGCGTGGCGCTAGGTTCCATGCACATATCTGCCCCGCTCGTTCTTTGCCGGGGTGTCCGGGCGCAGGTTCGAACGATTCCGTCGAGTTGCGTGTCGTGTTGCAGTTCTGTTGGCCAGCGTCGTGCGTCTATTGATCTACCCCCTCCAGTAGGCTGACCCTCTCCGTGACGTCCGCCTCGCTTCGCTCCAGGAGGTGGGCAGGGGGCCGGAGGGGAGGCTCCGAGGTAGGGCTCGGGGCTGGGAGGGGTCGGTTCGGTCGCGCCCGAGGCGGAGAGAGAGGCTGGGCACATTTCGACTCCTCCGACGCGGTTCGATCTCCATCGATTCGGTTCGACTCCGGGTTTCGATTTGGACTTCGGTGTCTCAGTTGAGCCCTCGTTCGCCTGCCAGTTTCGGCCGATTCGACTCTCCCACCGGGTTGCCGATTCCCGCCGATCCAGCTCATGCCGATCGCCGATCCGATTCGATGCTGTCGAGTCGATTCTGGAGGAGGGGGAATGAGGGTTGGTGGTGGTCACTGCACCAATGGAGGCCGGATCCTGAGAAGAGCGCGGCGCACCGTACAGCCGCGCTTCCGGAAGCAAGCGCGAGGAGGGGGGAAGGGAGGAGAAGCATGAGAGGGGTTGCGGGACGAGAGGGATGAGGAGGAGGGGGTGGAGGAGGAGGAGGAGGAGGAGGAGGAGGAGGAGGAGACATAGGCTCTCTCGGAGGCGGGATGTCCGAGTCGGCGCACCGCCCACAGGCCAACCGCTCGCGGTTCCTGGACTTCGTCACCTCCTGCCCGCGGCTGCCGCCGGGGGGCATCACGAACTTCAAGATGTACGTGTTCCCCGACCCCGGCTGCAGGCGCACACGGCCCCCGCGCCGGCGGCGGATCGAGGATCGCGAGGGGATCGAGGATAGAGGAGGAGCGAGGATCGCGAGGAGGAGCGCGAGGAGGAGGAGGAGGAGGATCGCCAGGAGCGAGGTGCAGGCTGGGCAAGGGTCCCAGACCCCAACGCGTCTCCAAAGCGTCACGACGGGAGTTGCTTAGATGGTCTGGCTCTGGGGGCCCTCGCCGGGCCCCGGGACGGGACTGTTAGATTACACAACTCGGGAAGAAAGATCGGCCCCTGCGAAAGGGTCGGGATTTCTGCGGGCCGCGCATTGCAACAAGCAAGACATCGGATGTTGAAGGTGAGGGGGGGACAGTCTCAGGGGGGGATGCAAATGCAACGACTTCCAATCGCCCACCGATCGCCAAGCGGGGCCCGATAGCCCGCCCCGCCTTGGAGCGTGCGGCTTGGCTATCGGGGGCCCATCGCCGATCAATAGGCGATGTATCGCCGATTCCAGGTTGATGTTTCCCGCCCCTATCGTTGCCTCTCAAAAGTTCGATGCTGTTGTGAGATCTTCTAGGTTTCCCGTGCGATTTCGGCATGCACGAGGCAGTTTTCTGTTCGAGCATGGACCATCAAAGCATTGCACCCAGGAAGTACATATTGGCCCCGTGGAGGTCGTGTCGGAAATGTTTGGGCCGCGGGTGGGTAAACTAAAGTATGTCAGTGTGTGTGTGTGTGGAGGAGGGTCGCGTCTCCATAGGTTTCGGGCGCAGCGTTTCTGTCCGCTCCGGACGTGTTTCCTTCCATCCAGCTTCTGGGAATCTGGGGCCCAGTTTCGGGCCCCGGGCACCGTCAAGACGTGATCTGGGACATGCTGGTGCGAACTCAGGAGGAAAAGAAACACACAGACACAATTAATCGTCCACTCCCAGGAAAATATGGGAAAATATGGGAAGTGGGGGGGAAGACAGAAACCCAGAAAATATTGGAAAATATGGGGAACATTTTTATTTGTGTGTATTTATTTGTGTGTCCTGGGGGCCATTCACGAACGCTGCCCCTGGAGGAGGGGTCGAGACCTGTGGGGCCCGCGCACTGGACCGGACCAGCCACGGGGAGGTCTGGGTCTGTCGCCCCGTTCTGTACGAGGGGTTCGAGGGCCGCCACGTAGGAAGGTCTGTCTGCGACCACTTGCGAGCCCTGGCCCTCCGGGTCCAGACGACGCTGGGGCGTCGGGTACCCCTGTAATCAGGCAGTGGGGGGTCGCCGCAGGCGCCCGTCAAGTTCTGCACCACCGCCAGCGCTTCGAACTCTCACCTCTCGACCTTCTGGGGTACGGTTCACGCGTGCCTGCCTGCAGTCGGCACGGCGCCTACGAGCGAAGCCCTTGCTTTTGAAGGGCACCCTCATGCGCGTCGTGCTCGGGCTCTTTCCGCCTTGGAATGCTTTGGGCCTCTCGAATGGCTAGGCATCGCTCGGACGTGTGCATTTTCTCGGCGAGGACCATCGAGGAGCATCCTGGATCATCTGGCGAAAAGCACGCACGAAACCAAGAAATGCGCGATGGCGAGATGGGGTGCAGTCGAGACGCTAAGTTGAGGAACAGGTCGAGGTCGGAATGGGCTCGCCGCTCATCGGGTCCCTCCACGGCTTCCCCAAAGTCATCGAGAACAAGATAACTCCATTTTTACAAATCTACGATGAAGACGTGGCCTCGATGAGATCTCCGTCTTCGCATTAGGGATAATACATGTGGGCGGTTTGGCCTGGCACATCTGCAGAAAAGACCACCTATCCCTCCCCAAAGGATTAGGAGTACTTCTCTTGCTTGTTACAGAGGGCATTCTTACTCGCCGTGGCCCAGGCACCAGTGCAGGGGACCTGTTGGGCTGGTACCTGTGCAGGAGCTCTGTAGGACTGCAGTCGAGACGCCAGTTCAGGGCTCCCCGTTCGCTGGCTCCAGAGGTTGACCATTACCCTCATCTCAGGAGGGGGAAAAACAAAGACACAATTTATCGTCGTTTCCCCCTACAATATGGGAAGATATGGGAAGTGGGGGGGGGGGGAAACGAAACTCCTTCAAATATTGGGACTTGTGTCTATTTTTGTTTGCCTGTCCTTGGGCACCTTTCTCGCCGCCTGCTCCTCCTTCGCTCCTCGTGCGCCCAGGCGCTCTTGGGGCAAGGCAGAACGCTGTTCCTGCTTGGCGCTCCTTCGGATCGGGGTGCGTCCTTCTCGTCCTGGTCCTCCTCCTGGTCCTCCTCCTCCTCCTCCTCCTCCTCCTCCTCCTCCTCCTCCTCCAGCCGTACTGGCACAGGCGAGATCCCTGTGCTTGCAAGCACGTATCTTCAGTGCGGCTCGTGCTTGCGGGCCACCATCTACGATCATCCCGACAGTTTTGGCTCCCTCCCAGTTCGGCGGCCGATGGCACCGCCGCCGCCCGACCTGCCCGATGTCCTGCGCGGCCCCAGGCGGCCGACTTGGGCCTGCGGGGCCTGCGGCATGGCCCCCTCCAGCTGGGCCTGCCGTGTGCGCTGCGCCTGTGGGCGGGAGGCTCCGCTGCGCATCCGCAAGACGGCCGTGGAGCAGCACCAACGATGGGAGAAGGAGCACGCTGCTGGCGGCGGAGGCCGCGGTGGCAAGGGCAAGAGCACGGGCCCCAATCAGCGGGGGGTCCCATCGTCGACTGTGCCGTCTGAGCTCGGCAAGCGGTTGGCGGAGATTGAGAAGCTCTTGCGAGGGCAGACGTCCCAGCCTGCTGACAAGGAGGGCGAGGCCAGCGCCAAGCCTCCACCTTGGCAGGCGAGCGCTGACCCCAAGAAGGATAACACAATTGCGGACGATGACACCGACGAGGTTAAGAAGCGCAAGCTTGCGAACCAGCTGGCGTGCTTCGAGGCCAGTCTCAAGTCGGTCCCTCACGGTTCGGACAACGACGAGCTACGCTCGAGTATTCAGCGGAAGATTGAAGGAGTTCGTGACCAGCAGAAGGCGTTGCGCACCCCTGCCGTGGTGCACCGCAGGGCCACTTCTGACCTGCAGAAGGCTACGTCTGCAGTCACTAAGCTGGAAGCGGACATCACCGAGAAGCAGAAGCAGCTCGACGAGCTGCAAGAATCCCTCAAGAATAAGCGCGCCACGCTCGAGGCCAAGAAGATCGAGGTCAGTGTGCTGCGCGCCGAGGTCAGCCAGGCAGCACAGCAGCTTGGCGGCAAGGCCACGGACAAGTCAGATTCCAACCCGCTCGATGTCAAGCCAGACGATGTCGACGATGAGGAGGTGCGCACGCTGCTTGGGTCTACCGCCTGGGCCAAGCTCCGAGAGCACCTCGCGGGTAAGATGCCCGCCCCGAAGGACGCCTCCATGCCCCAGGCACCTGATGATGTTCCTGGTGACGCTGGCGGCGACGGCGGTGGCGATCTCAAGCGTTCCCTGGACGAGCTGGAGGAGTCTGAGAGAGAGAGCAGCTTTTCGAGGCGGCCAAGTCAGGTGCAGAGGCTTTCGCCAAAACGCTTGGCGACATGGCCAAGAGAAGGACACGTTCCTAACCTTCCTCTCATGTCAGGTCTGCGGCTCTGCGATGGAGCTGTTCGGCGACTTGCGCAGCCTGATGTTCAAGGCACATTCTTTATTGAAACCTTCAATGCTTCTGGAGGCCGTGACACGTTGAAGGCACGTTTGACCAAGACGAAAGCTACGATACTGCTATGCCAGGAGATAGGATACATTGAGGACAGCTTGGGTGATCTTCACTCCTGGGCCCAGAACCGTCAATGGAAATGCTCTGCCATACCTGCTCGTCGTACGTCAGGTACCGTTCCCTCAGGTGGAGTTGCAGTGTTCGTACGTGACGCACTGGGCCTTCGGCATCCACCGCAAGGGCAGCTGGTGTGGGACCACCGACTACAGCAGGTCATTGTTGACATCAGCGGCTGGCCCCCCATCACGATCTTCAATGTGTATATGCAAGATTCTCTTGGGGCGGTTGGCATAAACGCTGAGATATTAATTGCTGCAGGTCGTTTGCTCTCGACATGTTCTGGGCCCGCCATCATGGGTGGCGATTGGAACATGGCACCGATTGATCTGGAGCAAAGCCTTGTCCCGCAGCAGGTGGACATGGTGTTGGCCTTCCCTGCTCAGGCTACGTTCCGGGGAGGCATGGGCGCCAGCACTATTGACTTTTTCTGCCTCAATGATGCTGTTGTCCGTGGTTATCGGGGAGTCAACGCGGTCATGACCTGGCACAAGAAGGCTCATCGTCCCGTGCAGTTGCAGCTGATTGACAACGGGGTGGACGTGCAGCACTATGTGTATTCTGTCTCCTCCAAGCTGCCTGCCACCCCGCCGCCAGGGCCGCGCACGAGGCCTACCGACTGGACGCTACATCGAGCCCTTGTTGAGCGCACCGTTGAGCTGGCGGCTGACCCCAGCAGCGACGTGGCGGTGGTCTGGGCACTCCTCACGCGAGTGTACGGGCGATTTGCTGTTTCCTTCGCCGAGTACATTGCGCAGAATGTCGGAGTGGAGCTTCGCGAGCCCAGTGCATATGCCAGAAATCTCGAGCCTAGATGGATCAATGTAACATACCCGACTAAGGATCCGAATGATACACAGTGCATTGGTCAAGGCTGGCAGTGGTTGCAGAACATGGTCACCACGATTCAGGCGTTATATACCAAAGATGATTCCATGGTCCAGTGTTCTGAGGAGATCGCCCTGTTTGTGACTTCACCGTGCCCAGGCCAAGGCCTCAACGCTCGCCTTGACGCCACGGTCGTGCAGGCGAGAAACCTAATCAATGCTATCCCCATGGACATGGACCAGATTCAATCGTTCGTTGATGATATTGCTGACGATGTAACCCTGGCGGTTAAAGGTCAGACCAAAGATTCCAATGCAGCATGGGCCGGCTGGTGCAGTGCAGCATCCTGCGGCGGCGCCCGCCCTCTGCATCGACTTACCAAGGTCAAGGCTATCCCGACGCCAGCTGTGGCAGCTGGTATTCAGTCAGGTGACCCTGTT